TTGGGGTACACTGCCAAGGAACAACAACTTTTCTAAATGCTTTACAGACAAGCGATTTCTACTTCTTCTACTACATGACCGCACTTTTCGCGAAAACTCTAATAACGGGCGTCATTTCTTGAATATCCGTTGCAATGATAAAAGTAGTAGAAATCACTCTTTCGATACTTACTCGATACCGAACAAAAAGGTATCGAGTAAAAAAATACTTGGTATCAAATGAAAAGTATCGAGTATTTACTTGTATCGATTGAACCCTAAATTGGCTATTGATACAAATTTGTATGATCGATTCTCCGGTAACCGTTGAAACTCTGCTCCGATCTAAAGAATATCGTTGTTTAAAATACGTTAAGAAGTGTTAAAGAATTTATTCAACAGGCGATGCTAAGTCCGTCGGGTATTACCTACTTATGCATTTCCTTACAAATGCGGAGAATTTAAACAGTCTACAATAAGGTTTGCAATTTGGGTATTCAAAAGAGTGTCGTATTGTTGTGTGTCGTAAACTTTTTAACGGCTAAAAATATTGTAAGGTATTCGCAAGGTGTCGTAGTTGTCTTATATTATGTTATTATAATTTTTCTCCCTGTTAAAATATATATTTCTTCGTGTTTTTGAGCCCTCTTAGAGTAAATTTAACCACGAAAACCTTACGACATAAGACAACAGGACACTTACGACACTTTGAGAATCACATAGATATTTTTTTTAGTATTCTAAAAATATAATAATTGGCATTCTTACCACATCCGGCTTATAAAGATGTGTATGTGGTAATAGAAACGTCGATCCGACATCGCGTTCTGCCATCGTGTTTGCCTCCTGTTCATATGCAAAATTGTAATAGATATTATTGTATGCAGTGACTTTTTTTAGAGCTAATGGAAATCAATACATACTAATATAAGGGGCACTAAATAAGTATTTAGATTTCGCTACAATAATATCATATGAGTCGATCTGGCGTATGCATCGTATGCATTAATGTAATCGGAACTTATTACAAGCGCGCTTTGATTTGTTTACAGTTACTTCTAAGTTTCGAAGGAATGAATATTTCAAAAGAAGGTTTTCGTTTGATTATGTTTACAACATTCTACGTGAATTAACGAAGCAGCCGTGTATCGATGAACTTGTTTTGACTTTTCGCTGGCGCTGGCGTCGCTTTAACAGCTGGCTATGAATAAAAGAATTCAAATGCATCCGTTCGCATCAGTGTTGCCGTTTTACCCATTGGTGGCTAGATTTAGCTACCAAATACTTTTTTTGGCCACATAAATTTAAAATTGCCCCTAGCTCTTTTTTAGCCCTTTGGAGAATTTACTTATACTTGGCACGAAAATGTTGTATATGCTTAATTTGATCTCATTTTTTTCATTTATGTAAGAGACGAATTTTTAAACTAAGAAAGACTGATATATAGTCATATGTAAAAGTGTTAAGGCTCTTAACTTATCTATTAACGATTTAACCATAGTTTAAAATAGATAAGTTTACTGCCCTTAATATGCTTAATTTTTTAAATGGCCCATCAATTCGATTGACCGTGTATGTTCTTGGGTGTGATTGTACCAGCTGCTGGTGTCGTGAGTGGTGAAATTAGATCAATTTTATAAGTAAAAAGTATTTTGGCGGAAATTTCTTGCACAATATGAGTCAAAGCCGTGTTTTTGGAAGATTAAGTTCACGATATTGCAGTTGTGAATTAAAACAAAAAAAACAATCTTTTAACAAAATGGTAGAAAAATTATGAAATTTCGGCTCTAATCATTTCGATCTTTCCTCAAACTCATTTGTAAAGAAATAAATATTGTACCAGCATGCTGGTAAGTTATATGTTTCGGGCCTGATGGTACAATCACTTGATGGAGCCAGCAACCTGGTGTCGTATATTTCCCCTTTTATACAAAAAGGTTTTTGGTTGGATAAAATATTTGCTTTTTTTCCAGAGTTCATTGTTTTCTATACCATTACTTATTGAAAATGTTTGCGCGTATACTTACATATGTATATGTAAGGAAAAAAATTTTAGCTACAATTTTTAGCCACAACGACATTTTTTAGCTCTTTTTTAGCCCTTTTTTAAAGGAATTTGGCTACCACTAAAAATTATTCGCGGCAACACTGGTTCGCATAGCCAAAATTTGGCAACGCTAACGCCAACAGAGATCAGAAAAATGGATTTTCGAGTGCGTCTTTCGTCAGCTGTTGCAAATAATTACAATAATATGAAATATTTTGCATTTTTAATCAAATGCGGACAAGAAATATCGTTCCTAATGCAATTATTGATGTGGAGTATTAATTTATGTATTGTTAGGGCCGTTTTCTCATCTAACCTTTAGATTACCAGCCACTTTATGGTCTCGATATACGAGTTTTCGTTTTCTCATCAGCGCATTAATTTCTCGAGTCGATAAATTGTTGCTCACCCGATGCAACCTTTAAAAATTTGTACCCAACTTTAAATTTTGGTTTAGTTTTGGTTCATGAGTCAGATATATTAGATATTTCTACCAAGGTTTTGGTTTTTGCTAACAGTTGCTCTTGCTTTATATTTGCTTATGTTGCATTGCCAACCTTTGAAATTTTATGACGAATGTAGTGAAGTTTCACTCTCGGAAATGTAGTGAAGTTTCACTCTACGGAATAACAAAATTATTTTTAGCGGTAAGATAAGAAAACGAAAACACTTTAAAGTGAGGAACAATTTATCTTCCCTGTTAGTAAAGGCAACTTTACTGCTTACATTAGAAAACGGTCCTTAGTATATTAATTTAGAGGCCAAAGTATTCGCTGCCACGCGATCATTGTAGCAAGCAGCGAGCGTTATTCGCGCTGCTGTCGGAGCGACGCCAACACTAACGCCACGACAAAGGTGTCTGTGGACAGGCCTTTAATGTTTGGCCGAGCTTCTTCCCCGATTTGAGGTGTGCGCCTTGACGCTGTCACATAAAAGGGAGAGAACTACAGTTTTATGCCGACTCCGATCGGCGATTGTATTTTTTATGAGAAGCTGTTTTAATGGCTGAAATACACTAGCAGGTTTGCCATTGCCTACCGAGGGGAGACCGCTATTGGAAAAAACTTTTTCTTTTGTTAGTCGGAAATTGGGCTCGATCCAAGGCCCTGCGGAATGGTAGTGCGCACTTCTAACCACTACACTACAGCGATCGCCGCATCGATATTTTAAGAAAAGAAAAACCCAACAAAATTTGCTTCGAAGCAAATGGCCCAATTGTTTTTCGCTAAACAGATCATGTGGCTATAGTGGCGCTAAAGGAACATTGAACAGTTAGTTATTTAGTTATGAATGGTACACAAGCATTTGTTTGGCAAAAGGAGGTAAAACACCGAAAAACAACAAATGTTCTTTCATTAATTCAATGCGATCTCTGACACATCTGGTCATATAAATGATTTTTAGGCACTCAAAATGACGAATTGATGTGCAATCTGTCATACAGCCCTGATTTAGCACTTAATGTTTTTTTTCTTCCCATACATCAAGGATTAACTGCGCGAACAACGATTTTCTTTATCATAAGAACTTGCTAACGCTAGGGTGGCCAGATATTATAGTGACCTAATCAGTACAGTTGGGATCAAAAATTAGTACAAAGTCATAAAAATCAGTTAATTTTTGAGCGTATTTTTTATACCCGAACGCACTTGTGCACAAGGGTATATTAATTTTGTTAACGGTTGTTTGTAACAGCCAAAACGAATCGAGATAGATATAGAAAAATGTATACATAAATGCTCAGAATGAATAGAGAAGTCGATTAAGCCATGTCTGTCTGTCGGTCCGTCTGTCCGACCGTCCGTGTACACGATAACTCGAGCCAAAATTGAGATATCTCAACGAAATTTCGTATGTAGGTTTCCATTTATCCAAGGTAGGTTGGTATTGAAAATGGGCGAAATCGGACTGCAACCACGCCCACTTCCCAAATAACGGTAATTTCCAGAAATAAGAAAACTGTGATATTTTAGTAACTACTGACGATAATTCACTCAAAATCTATATTTACAATAATTTGCAGGCGAAAAATAAGAATATTATAAATTTTTGGAAAATGGGCGTAGCCACGCCCACTTATGGTTACATGCGTATATCGTGGTAACCGCTGCACCACTTTCTTCCAAACTAGGCACAGTTGTTGGTCCGACCGAAAATTTTTTAAATCGGACAATAACCACGCCCACATCCCATATAACGGTAATTTAGAGAAATACAAAATCTTCCACAAATGAGTAAATATTAAAGCTAATTTATTCAAAATTGATGGTTGCAACAATTCTTTACCAGGAAATACGTTTATGGTAAAATTTTGGAAAATGGGCGTGGCACCGCCCGCTTATGATCACATATATATATATCGGTAACCGTTCTACCAATGTGTACCAAACCGGTATGGTTATTGTGCTTGCCACGTAAAAGCAAAATCTTTAAAATTATTGAAATCGGACTAAAATTACGGCCGCTTTTCATATAACGGTAAATTTCAGAAATGCTTGAAACTTCAATATTTTGAAATTTAAGGACGCTAATTTACTCTAAAATTGATACACCCCGGCTTACCATGTAGCGGTAGCCTTCGGAAAGGTGAAAAAATATATATTTAGTACTTGCGCCGGGTATTTAATGTTCGGCTCCGCCCGAACTTAGACTTTCTTACTTGTTATTATTAACATTATAACAACCAAATAACAGCGCATTAATTTAACAAAAAATAACAAATAGACTTTTAAATACATATAGTATTATCAATATAAAAATTCATTACTTTAAAACAAATCAAAGATATTACGTATGTATGTACAGCTGTGCTCAGGAAAATAGTAGTAAAACGTATTGACAGGTTTTGAAATTTTTGTATTTCCTTATGTTTGGGGTTATGTTGAGGGATGCCAGGAATTGTTTCCAAGATAAATGATGAGCAATCGTTTATTTGTACTAACGCGAGAATATTTATTAAGGTATTTTGATTACAATTATGATGATGTTAAATGGAATAAATATTTGATGAGCGAAAAGAATACAAAAACTGAAATGCGTAGTGAAAAACGCGTGCGGTTCTTTTTGATGATGTCGTAACTGTCACACCGCTCAGAGAGCCTATTTTCATCATACGCCGACAGCTATTTGAGTGAATTATTGGGAAGTGTTCAGAAAATCCTTAACATTTCCCGCCCACCTCGTCGTATGTCGACGAAAATCACGTTCACCGCCCACCGTAGGTGTCCTAGTCCGAGGACTTGGGCGTTTCTGTAGGAATAGGCAGCACAGATATTTTCGAGATTGGCCGCTGGAACGCGGTAGTTTTTAAGCTCACGACGCGAACAAGTCCATCAGAGCCCGGATGGGTGTCTGTAATTCGAGCCAGTTTCCATTGAGTAGGGGGTGCTTTTTCATCTCTAACAAGCACAAGTTCTCCAACCTTGATATTCGGTTGTTGTTTATGCCATTTGGAGCGAACTTGCAAATGATGTAAATACTCTACAGACCATCTGCGCCAGAAGTCTTGATATATCTGGCTAAGTTGTTTCCAGCGGTACAAAACACCACTCTTTGTATCGAGAAGATTGGGTTCTGGCACGCTGGTAAGAGCGCGTCCAATTAGCATGTGCCCTGGTGTCAACGCAGCGAAATCCGTAGGATCATCTGTGAGTGTCGTAAGTGGTCTAGAGTTTAGACACGATTCGTTTCGCTTGAGCACTGTGTAAAATTCTTCAAAGGTGAGTGTTGTAGTGTTGATTGTGCGTTTTAACAAGGCTTTCATGCTTTTAACGCCGGCTTCCCAAAGCCCGCCAAAGTT